GTGTGCGTGCACGTGCGTGTGTGTGTGCGTGTCACTCAATCTTATCACGGCAGCAATTGGGAAGGAATACAGTTGATGGAAGTTGATAAAGGGCGGGGGTCCTATTTTTATCTTGAGGAAAGACTTGTGGAGGTTGAGCAAACCCACACTGCACGGTTGTTTAAAAATAGCCTCTGGTGTTCCAGTTCCCAAAAACCAACATTAATGTGCTAACTCCCCCGTTCGCTCTGAAAACAAGAGAGTCTCGGTATCATGTGCTCTCACACGTGCTTATCAAACCAATACACACAGGAGTTTGAAAATTTGCGCCACAACTTAGGCACGGACGGATACACGCGGACATGCTTCTCCTACTCCCACTCCCTCCACTTATTAATTTCCCAAATGCGTGTCCTCCCAGCTCTTTCAGAAATCGGCTCTCGCCCTTTCCCCCCTCCCGAGGCTCTCATTAGCAGCACCCCTGCACTCTCTTATCTGTACCGCCTATGTTTCTTTACTGATTTGAACAGAAAAGGGAAACTGTTCTAATGACTAACAGGTTTAACAGCTGCACTTAATGCACTTTGACATCAGCACCACAATCAGTATAAACATCATCTGTCTGTGCAGCACAAAATGAATCATCCGCAGATTGGTTTTTGGAACAGACTAAGTGTCGTGTATTCAGCCTGCGCTTATATTTACTGTTGTGAGTGTTAACGTGTAATACAGTATGTGTCAGCTTTTTGTCTTGTTAATGGGATTTCTAGCTAATTTGGTTATTTACAGATCTGCTGCCATCCCGATAACATGTTATCTGTCCCGAAAGATCTGAACCTCGACGACCTCTCCTTTCAAAGATGGTCTCTGGGGTAGCAGTCTGAAGGAGCAGTTGATCTCTAATTTGATTTGGCAGCTGCTTTCGTCTGTTGGCTCGTTATGTCAGATGGGACAACAGCCAATGCCAGCATAGACTTTCTAAGTTTATTTATTTGCTCAGATATCGTAGATGCACCGTATCTGCAGACACACACACAAACATGGCTCTGCTCCGACTGATCTGGAAGCATCAATGGCCAGATATGGTGAGATACTACACCTTGTGTTGTCTAGCTGTTATCCATGCTCTCTCAGGCGAGTAGATCTTAAATTGGGACTGTGACGGCGAATGTTAAATATGTCCTCACATCCCTGAGATTTTATATTCAGTCCCACTCTGTCCCTCAATCTCCATAAATCAAGCCTATCCCTGTGTGTTTATCGCAGACCTACTGGCACTGTGCTGCTGCATGCCTCTATTCCTGCTGGAGGGTGGAAGAGGTGAAAGGTCACAGTTGCTTTGAACCAATCAAAAGCCATCAGATGGTCCCCGTAGGATGCTGAGCAGAAACACACTGGTGTAACCTTTTAATGTAACATGAACGTGGCACATGTGTCCCAGCAGGAAAGTGAGCCATCTGAGAGGGGAATACCATCCGCGGGTTTCTGTGTGACTGAAGAGGTCAAATTCCTCTTCAGTCACACACATCGCATTTGTTTAGTGATGGTCCTGGGTAGTAAAACATTTCATGCACAATTCATGCTAGCTACATAATTATCTGAGAAACACCCCTGTTATTGTTTGGCTCACATCCTCAACACTGCTGCTGATTATGTGACTGTTAAAAACAAAAATATAGTCACTTTACACACACACTCATTCTTCTTTCTGTTTCAATTTGACTTTAAGATCACATTGTTTCACTTCTGTTGGCTTTACTTACAGGCCTCTGTCTTGTTTCACTGTGTCTTATCATCACCTAATTACCTGTCTGTCTCATACGCTTCCGCTGTTCCCTGCCAGACTGTATTTGAGCTCTTAGCAGTTGAACTTTAGCTGCTTTATCTTTATGTTCCTGGCTTTGTTTTAATGTATATGTCACCTAGGTTTAAATTAAGTGTCTAGATTTTACCGTCTACTCATGTGTGGATCCGTCTGTTTAAAATTGCACAGACAGTTTATAGTTTTAGCACATTTGATGTATTTTTAAAACTGAGTTTGTCACAAGAACAAAAAAAAACCGAGCAAGCTCAATGTGTCGTATGCTAGACAGAGCTATTTATAGCATGTATAAAACAAGGTTTGCACAAAACAGGCAATGGTTTTAAGATATATAAAGTGTGTTTAATATTAATAAGTAGCAATAATACATTTATCATTAAAAATCTGCAATACATTTGAGAATGCATTTCTTTTTCGTGCTTTTCTATGTTTCATAGGGAAATATGAAGTTGTTTTCTCCGTTTTATTTATGCAGGATTTGTGCGGGGGGTTTCTGTTTAAAATAATAATCTGAAACATGTCATGTGCATGAAAATATATTAGAAATAGCTAAAACACCCACTGGTGCATACTGGATGTACAAGTAAAAAGATAACACTGAATAGATCCACTGTGCATTATCTCAGCTTTGAGGCAAGTGATTGAAGCGATAACCCAGTGAAGAATACTGCTGACTGATTGGGGTGGAGGGGAGCACACATACAGGAGGGCTACCTGTGCATTGCAAATTGCCAACTATAATATGCGTGATAGCGATGGGGACTGCTTGTCTATATATATATATATGTGTGTGTTTGTTTTGTTTTTTTAAAGCCTTTCCATTCTGATGTTGTATTACCACACACGCAAACACACAAAGGCACACTTCTCGGCAGTGAGTCATCAGACAGTAAATCCTCTGTTTCTGAACATCTCCAAAGTAAACATCTGTGTGTCATCATTAATATCCTGCTCACTTATTTTCCGTTTTGCCGAATAAAAACGGATCTACATTCTGCAGCCTTAAAAGGCTGAATAATCTAAGCTTTTTATTTTTAACCATCCCACTCCATAATTTCTCCAGCCTTTTCCGGCTGCTAACATTCTTCTTTCAATTTATGTCTTATTTGGGAAATCCACTCAGCCTCTGCTCACTTGCCTTTGTTTAATAGACTTTAGTGACTGCAGCATAAAAATACACATTTTTACAGGCACTTGTAGTTTCTTTGAATGTCCCCTAATAACTTTTTTTTCTCTCTCCTGTAGCACATGTGGGACTTCTGGACGTTGGGAGTGTGAGCAGAACGCCTGTCTGATTGAGCCGGACATTATCCAAGCTGTCAACAGAGGAAACTATGGGTAAGAAACAAATAAATATAGACACGTACTTACAATACATTGTTTGTAGTTAAAAACACATATGATTTCTGCCTCTTTCATATTGTTTTTAGGTGGAGGGCAACTAACTACAGTGAGTTGTATGGCATGACTTTAAACGAAGGCATCCGCTACCGACTGGGCACACAAAGACCATCAAGAACAGTCATGAACATGAATGAGATTCAGGTACAGGACTCTTCGTTCATTGAATCATCAAATCATCGTTAGAAAATAAATATATGGGTGAACTTTTCTAAAGGCTCAGATACAAAACTTCACTGATTGGACTCCTTATTTAAATCTCTCAGCTGTAGTCTGGCTCTTGTCCTGCCTCTCTCTGCCCTTTCTTCTTTTTCCTCTCTCCTCGAATTAGTTGCAGCAGATTTCTGCCCCTCCCTGAGCCTGGTTCTGCCAGAGATTTATTCCTGTTAAAAGGGAGTTTTTCCTTCCCACTTTCACCAGATGCTTGCTCATAGAAGGTTGTGTGATTGCTGGGATTTCTTTCTAATATTGTAGGATCTTTACTTTGCAATGTAAGAGTTTTACATAAAATTAAATCAAATTCACTTAGGTGCCCTTGATATATCCATACAGGAACTGTAAGAATATAACTTTACTGGGCACCACGTGTACCTTCTTAAACTCTGAGTTTCCACTTAAAACGACAAAAGGCATAACATACGGATAACATATCATTCATCTCCTGATTCCACTAATACTACAACTATGGAGAGAAAACCAAAATGATGTCTTTAGATATTTTCAGAATTGTACGATGGAGTGATTTGATAACCAAGTGGTTAGCGTACATACTCAGGTTCCCTGAGCAGTGACTCGTTGGATTACCGGTTGGCTGGACCATCATGTCTTTCTTCACTCATGAATAGCAGGAAAAAAGTAACATAGAGATTTACAGAAATAATATTCTTAATATTTGGCAACAGAAACGATTGGTATTGTATACATCGTTTGCTTATTTTTGTATTTAAACACAGACATTTGAAATATTACATAGAAATAGTTTTTAAAATCAGAGTATATGAAATTTGATCAACGCTGAATTTAACCCTTAAGGACCCACAGTGACACTGGTGTCACTGCCTCTTTACACTTAGAGACTTGGTTATATATGATTCATTTGATATAAGACCCCCGTAATTTTCATGACAGTAGAAATAGGTCTGGGCTCTTAAGGGTTAAAGAACTATCGTTTCTATTCTGTAGTCATGATAGGAACATGTGCTGAATTAGTCACAAACTGTTTCCCACTTGTGTGAGTGTATGACATAAAGAGGAGAGATGTGGGTGGAAGCAGGATGTTTTACAGACAGGTGAGAATAAAAAGAAAAAGTTACTCATATCTTTACTTTTCTTTTTTCTTCTTCTTTTTTTTTTTTTACAAGCTCTTGCACGCTTGAAACCTATTACAGACAAGTGAGCACTGACCAAAACCTGCTTCACTTAATTATGGTGGCCTGCTGGTATGTAACGGCCTCTCTGTTTGGAGACCTCAGCCTGCTCTGTCTTTGTTTACATTTTACCCCAGAAAGATTACATAAGACGCAACCAAAACATCACATAGAGAAGACGGAAAGGATGGTGGCGGCTTTGAGAATAAAGACAAGACTTCCTCTTGGGTCTGCGCATTCCCACTTTGCCCTGCGTGCATTCATTCCACCTCGAAATTTTGTAACACCTCCTACTCCTTCCGCCCTCAGCGTGTCCCTGCCTATGCCTATATCAGATCACAGCCCATTCACAAAACTCTCAGTCTCTCCCCTTTCCTGTTGTTTCTGCAGACTCGTGTCAAACGCACTTAATGCAACATTTTAGATGCCTTTTGGATCAGGTGCTTTTTTTGCACTTTGACCTGCCAGAGCTCCAAATCTCTGAGCAGCAGCACATTCCTTAGTGATGTATCAGGTGGC